TAAACTGATGACTCTGCCTACGTGATGATCTTTTGGTGATGAATTTCCCAGGTGTTTTTTGAGCCTCTTGTATTTGGATGTCTAGATATCTAGCAAAACCAGGGAAGTTTCCTCAATTAAGTTTTCCAAACTTTTAGTTTCTTCTCTTCCTCAGGAACAACAATTATTCTTATGTTTGGTCATTTAACATAATCTCAAATTTCTTGGAGGTTTGCTCTTTTAAAAAAAAAAAAAATTTTTCTTTTTCTTTGCCTTTGTCCAGTTGGGTTAATTCAAAAGCCTTGTCTTCAAGCTCTGAAGTTATTCTTGTTCGATTTGCATTTCATTTTTCTGGAGACTTTGATCCACATCCTGTTTTGTTTTGTTTTGTTTTGTTTTAATTTAGGTTGGCTTTCACCTTTCTCTCGTACCTCCTTGAGTAGCTTAATCAACCTGAATTCTTTATCTAGCAATTCAGAGAGTTCTTCCTGGTTTGGATCCATTGCTGGAGAGTTAGTGTGATCTCTCGGAGGTGTTACAGAATCTTGTTTTGTCACATTACTAGAATTACTTTTCTGGTTCCTTCTCATTTGGGTAGACTGTTTCATCGGAAAGATCTGGAACTCAAGGGCTGCTGTTCAGATTCTTTTTTCCCATAGGGTGATCCCTTATTATGCTATTCTCCCCCTCCCCCTAGGGACAGGGCTTCCTGAGAGCCAGACTGCAGTGATCATTATTGTCCTTCTGGGTCTAGCCACCCAGTAGGGCTACCATGCTCCACGCTGGTGCTGGGGAATGTCTGCAAAGAGTCCTGTTACATCTTCAGGTCTCCCAGTCATGGATACCAGTACCTGCTCTGGTGGAGGTAGCAGGGCAGTAAAGTGGACTCTGTGAGTCCTTGGTTGTAGTTTTGTTTAGTGCAGTGGTTTTCTTAAATGCTGGTTTTGCTAGCAGTGAAGTTGTGATGTGGAGAGACTCGGGACCTCTGGTTAGTCAGGGTGTTGCAGGCTGTGGAATTAACTGTTTTCTCCTTCTTTGGTGCAGGGTTGTTCTGTTATTATTTGCTGTGATGACTTGAGTTGGTTGGCCTCCAGGCAGGAGGTGGTACTTTCAAGAGACAACCAGCCGCTGTAGTAGAATTGCCCTACCTTGGCCTGGATAAGTACTCAGGGTTTCTCAGGTAGTGGGCAAGGTCATAGAGCTCCTAAGAGTTTGTCTTTTGTTTTCAGAGTTTTTTGGCTGTCTTGTGGAGTTTGTAGTGGCAAGCCATTTCTTTCAAAGGGTCTTTGAATTCTTCCAATTTTCCTAATATGTTCCTGTGGTGGTTCTTGGAGCAAAAGTTCACAGTGTGAGTCTCCACACGCTGTTCTGTCCGTCCATGTGGGAGCTGCTCATTAGTCCTGTCTCCTATCTGCCATCTCCACCCCAGCACAGCAGACCAACATGTTTGCCTCTTCTCTGTTTTGTTCTCTCCAGGGCCCCAACAGATTGGATGGTGCCCACTCACATTTGAATGCAGAGCTTCCTTACCTAGTCCAGAGATTCACATGCTAATATCTGCTCATTCATTTTTAAACCATTCAATTATAAAAGCCTTGGATTTTTCAGACATCTGTTACCTTTTTCCTTTTCTCAACCATTATTCTTTGCCTTTTTTTTTTTTTTTTTTTGAGACGGAGTTTCACTCTTGTTACCCAGGCTGGAGTGCAATGGCGCGATCTCGGCTCACCGCAACCTCCGCCTCCTGGGCTCAGGCAATTCTCCTGCCTCAGCCTCCTGAGTAGCTGGGATTACAGGCACGCGCCACCATGCCCAGCTAATTTTTTGCACTTTTAGTAGAGATGGGGTTTCACCATGTTGACCAGGATGGTCTCGATCTCTCGACCTCGTGATCCACCCGCCTCGGCCTCCCAAAGTGCTGGGATTACAGGCTTGAGTCACCGCGCCCGGCCGAGGCAAGAAATTTTAAACAGATTTATTAATTTACTAATTGATCACCCTACATTTGCAGGTGTTAGATATCCTTAAGAATGAACATACCTTATAGAAACTTTAATCAGCCTTAGCAACATAGTGAGACCGCATCTCTACAAAAAATCAAAAATTAGCCAGGCATGGTAGTATACACCTGAGACTGAGGTAGCGGGGGAAAAGAAAGAAACTTTAAGAAACCAGTACAGTACAGAAGTGCCTACTCATTGAGGTCACAGATACATCACTACAATATGAATAAAAAACAAAAAAAAGCCGGGCGCGGTGGCTCAAGCCTGTAATCCCAGCACTTTGGGAGGCCGAGGCAGGTGGATCCACGAGGTCGAGAGATTGAGACCATCCTGGTCAACATGGTGAAACCCCGTCTCTACTAAAAATACAAAAAATTAGCTGGGCATGGTGGCACGTGCCTGTAATCCCAGCTACTCAGGAGGCTGAGGCAAAAGAATTGCCTGAACCCAGGAGGCGGAGGTTGTGGTGAGCCGAGATCGCGCCATTGCACTCCAGCCTGGGTAACAAGAGCGAAACTCCGTCCCAAAACAAAACAAAACAAAACAAAAAAAAAAGCCTTCCTAATGCATGCAAATGTGTATTATACAGTTAAGTAACATACATTTCACCTTAATAAAAATGAAGATTAAATGCTTTAGAAACTATTTTATCAAAAGTTACTCTGATACAAAGACTTACATATGATTGTTCATAGTACTATTAATGACAAAAAGTGGTCACAACCCAAATGTCCATTAACTGATAAGCAAAATGTGGTATATCTATACAATGGGGTATTATGCACCCCACAAAATGGCATGGAGTACTGATACATGCTACAACATGGATGAGCCTCAAAAACGTTATGCAAAATAAAAAAGCCAGATACAGGGAAACCATGTCATATGATCCCATTTATATGAAATAGCCAGAAAAGGCAAGTCATCAAAACAAGATAGAATGAGGATGGATTAGAGGACTACAAATGGCACCAGGGATCTTTTGAAGTTGATGGAAATATTCTAAAATCAGACTGTGGTTAGAACAAGTCTGTAAATTTACTAAAATGCATTGAATTAATACACTTAAAACAGCTGGATGTTATGATGTGCAATTATTTAGTAAAGGTGTTTTCTGTTTTTGTTTTGTTTTTGAGACAGAGTCTCACTCTGTCATCCAGGGTGGAGTGCAGTGGCACAATTTTGGCTCACTGCAACCTCCACCTCCTGAGTTCAAGCATTTCTGCCTCAGCCTCCCTAGTATCTGGGACTATAGGCACCCGCCACTATGTCTGGCTAATTTTTGTATTTTTAGTAAAGATGGGGTTTCACCATATTGGCCAGGCTGGTCTCCAACTCCTGACCTTGTGATCTGACCCCCTTGTCCTCCCAAAGTGCCGGGATTACAGGTGTGAGCCACCATGCCTGGCCTAGTAAAGCTCTTTTTTAAATGTGGCTCTAGTATTGCTAGAGACATTGATATCAAAAATGCAGTTTGAATAATTATTTCAAAAATAGAGTGAGACTTTTCAGGAAAAGTTTATATATTCAGTACTATAGGTAAGTTTTTTTTAAGAAGAAACTTTATTTTCAGTGTTAGAAACAGAACTTCATTTATAGCATAATAAACATACTTTCAATCTCTTTACAACCTAAAGAATAAGACCCCTGAATTAAATTTTATGTTTTGTCCTAAATATTTCAAAACTCATCCATGTCATCTTGAAAATTTTACTCTTCCTTGATACGATGTTATTTCCCTTATGGGAAACTTCAATCAGTGGCCGTATTTGAAAAGCAAGAAGACACTATTGGCATCTGAACAGTTCTATTAGGATGTTAAATTTTTAAAAATACTATATACCAGGCGTCCCCAAACTTTTTACACAGGGGGCCAGTTCGCTGTCCCTCAGACCGTTGGAGGGCCGCCACATACTGTGCTCCTCTCACTGACCACCAATGAAAGAGGTGCCTCTTCCTGAATTGCGGCAGGGGGTCCGGAGAAATGGCCTCAGGGGGCCGCATGCGGCCCGTGGGCCATAGTTTGGGGACGCCTGCGATATACTAACTCTTGAATTATATTTATTTAAATGCCAGCTACCTAATGGTGCTATCAGATTATTGCGATTGTATTTTTACCCAAGTATAATTTTTAAAATAAAATCATGTTGCATTGTATTTTTCTAAAATCATTGGATTTGTAATTCAATAATGTAGACTTACAATTTATTTTAGGGCCTAGAAAAAAGAAAAGAAACTTCAGAGATTCCAGCCTATTTGTATCTGCTGAAGAGGTAAGGCTAATACACTGTTTTAAGCTAGCTATTCTACATTATTTTTAGTTTGCTAATAAATTTATCTTTCTTTTTTAAGTTTGGCCATCTATTGGATGAAAATATGGGATCCAAGTTTGATAACATTGGCATGAATGCCATGGCTAACAAAGATAATGCAAGTAAGTAACTTAAATTTTTTTATTGGCATTTTTAAAACAGCTTTGGCTTAGGACATCAGAAGATAGATTTATTTTATTTTATTTTATTTTATTTGAGACAAAGTCTTGCTCTGTCACCCAGGCTAGAGTGCAGTGGCATGATCTCAGCTCATGGCAACCTCTGCCTCCCAGGTTCAAGCAGTTCTCCTCCCTTAGCTCCCAAGTAGCTGGGAGTACAGGCATACACCACCATGTCCAGCTACTTTTTGTATTTTTAGTAGAGAAGGGGTTTCACCATGTTGACCAGACTGATCTCAAACTCAAGTGACCCGCCCACCTCAGCCTCCGAAAGTGCTGGGATTACAGGCATGAACCACCATGCCTGGCTGATAGGAATGTTTTTGAAAGACCTTTTCATGGTACTTTACAACCTGGAAAGAATGGCTTTTTCTTCTCTCAGAGAGAATATGAGATTAAAAAGTATTTATACTACAGCAAAAAAAGAAAAAAAAAACCTGCAGACTACAAAAATTACTTTTTTTTAGGGAGGTAGGCCATTTTTATATAGCATGAATTTGCTAAGTAACTTTACACGTTTATAGACATTTTAATTATCTCTGATATTTATTGTTACTGGTTTTTATTTCACCAGTAAAAGTTCTTGGGGAAAGAAAATCTTTAGAACATTTGTTTCTTTTCATTCCTTAGTCATTTCTTATTGAAACATTAATCTTTGACAATAAATATAAGAAGAAAAGCAACAAACAAGAAGCAGTGAATTTGTATAGAGGGTGGGAAACTGCTGGCCAAGGCAGGCTAGCAGTTCTTGTGATTCAGCAGCATGTTCTGTGGGACCGCCAAGTGGGATAGTACACTCATCTTTTCTTCTTCTCCCAAAGGTCTCAAACAGCTTAGATGGGAGGCCGAACGTGATGACTGGCTACACAACAGAGATGTAAAAAGTATCATCAAGAAAAAGAAAAATTTTAAAAATAAGAGGATTAAAACCACTCAAAAAACTAAAAAGCAAAGGAAATGAGTTATTAATATAAATTACAAATTAAAATTTTACTTACATCTAATTTTTGCTCTCCAACCATTTTTTTTCATCTAGCTCTCTGATTCCATACATTCCAGACATCTCAGTGGATTTATAATAAACTGTAAATAAAAATAGCTGTCATTTATAAAGTAATGTGGAAATATTGTTAAACTTCTTGAAAAAAATGGAAACATTGCTACATAACAAAATGAAAAAGAGGACAGGATTACAGACTTGACATATAAGCCCTGGCATCTCTAATCATTGTAATGAGCACTATTTAGTATAACTGTGTCATCTTGTTCAGTCATTATCTACTTGACAGAGAAAGAGACAGCTCCAAGAAGTTAGCAAACCTGAGATGAAACTGATCTTTTAAAACCAAAGGTTTAAACTGTGGTTTGATTCTATCACCTCATACATGAATGGTTCCAGAGTTTACATTCTTAACCACTAGAATTCAGAATCCAGCCCATTACCTAATTCTCTTCTCACTAGAATAGATGAAAATGTACTCTAGTCTCAGAACTAAAATAGATGTGAATAGTATTGTTAGAAATTGACTTACCACAAAATAAAGTCATTTAATTCTTAGTTCCTTGTAAAGAAATTAATTACTACTTAATTTATAGGTTACCTGAAAAAGTCGTTTTATACTTACTTTTACTTAAGGAAAAACATACCTTTCAAGATGAAGGGAAATTTCTCATTCATTGTTTGCCTAAAATCTGATGGGGGAAAAATAGGATGTCTTAAAATTAGATTCAAACAAATTCATTACATTAATACAGCCACAACTGAATGCTAGCTTTAGGGTCCATGTGATGGGAACCATATAGATTAGAATTTGTTTAAAGGTCCTTCCGGTAATCCAGAAACTATCTCCTTTTGGATAAGATCTAGGCTGCACTTGCCTTAACATGATAGCCTTAGAGTTTTTAAGTTTTCACCTATATATCCAATGTAATTTTTTTTTTTTTTTTTTTTTGAGACGGAGTTTTGCTCTTGTTGCCCAGGCTGGAGTGCAATGCAGCGATCTCAGCTCACGGCAACCCCCACCTCCCAGGTTCTAGCGATTCTCCTGCTTCAGTCTCCCGAATAGCTGGTATTACAAGCACGCACCACCATGCCCAGATAACTTTGTGTTTTTAGTAGAGATGAGGTTTCTTCTTGTTGGTCAAGCTGGTCTTGAACTCCTAACCCCAGGTAATCTGCCCGCCTCGGCCTCCCAAAGTGCTGGGATTACAGGCGTGAGCCACCACACCCGGCCCCAATGTTTATTTTTAAATGGTACCTGAAAGCAGATTTTGAGTGTGAATGTGTAGCTCCCTATGTAAATTTATGAATTTTTTTTTTCAACAATATGTTTCTCCATGAAGGCCTAGAATTATTTTTATGGATGTTATTTTACCTCTATAAGAAATTACAAATAAGATCAGAACGAGTTTTTGTTTTAGTTTTGTTTGTTTTGCCAAGAGACTTGTTCTGTTGCCCAGGCTGAAGTGCAGTGGTGCAATCTTGGCTCACTGCAACCTCAGCCTCCCGGGTTCAAGTGATTCTCCTGCCTCTGCCTCCTGAGTAGCTGGGATTACAGGCACATGCCACCACGCCCAGCTAATTTTTGTATTCTTAGTAGAGAGGTTTCACCATATTGGCCAGGCTGGTCTCAAACTCTTGACATGTCATGATCCGCCTACCTCGGCCTCCCAAAGTGCTGGGATTATAGGCATGAGCCACTGTGCCTGGCCAGTTTTGTTTTGTTTTGTTTTTAATAACTAGTTTTGGTTTTATGTTTTGTTTTTGTCTTTTTGAAACAAGATCTCTCTCTGTTGCCCAGGCTGCAGAACAATGACACAATCACAGCCCTCCACAGCCTAGATGTAACCCTGGGCTGGGCTCAAGCGAGCCTCCTACCTCAGCCAAGTTTAAGTAGCTGGGACAGGGCTGAAGGGAGCCTCCTGCCTCAACCTCCCAAGTAGTTGGGACTACAGGAACATACCACCACGCCCAGGTTTTTTGTTTTGTTTCGTTTTGTTTTTTTAAGATACAGGTTCTTGCTATGTTACCCAGACTAGGCTCCAGCAATCCTCCCACTTTGGCCTACCAAAGTGCTGGAACTGAAGTGTGAGAGCCACCACATCCAGCGATAACCAGTTTTTAAAATTGATCCCAGATTTTAATTTGCTTTTAAATACTTGTGGGATGTTTTCTTTATGCCCTTCCTTCGAGTTTAAAAGAAAAGAGATTTTGTGAATATCCATTAGCATCTTGGTAGAGTGTTCCAACAAAGTATGCTGAGGAAGACTGACAAGTTTCAAAGATGGCTATCATCCTAGGACTGTGCCCTGTTTTAGAGAAAAATCACTTCCTAATTTAAAAAGTTGAGGGCTCTAATATAAAATTTCCCCCCCAAAAAATGTTAAAGCACTTTCAGCCATAGCATGTGAAAGTCTTTTAGTGCCCACTGTTGATGCCCAGGAAGAAAACAAAAGCCTACAATGAAGTGTAATGGACAGGTTAAGTTCCTCCATCTGTGCTCCCAAACTAAGCAGACCAAGGACACTTGCTCTACCCTCCCCAACAGTAAAACTCATGGAGATAAGAAGTTTTTTCCTTAGTCTACAAACATTTTTAAGGGAGAAGGGAGAATCATCTAAGCTGCAATAATGAATACTTTGATTCCTGTTCTGCCTATAAAAATGTCTAATATGGCTTAAATCTGAAGAAGCAATTTCTCTAAAAATGTCATTGCCATTTAATACACAAAATGGATTAGCAAATTATACCTCTTTAGAAAGCATTAACTTCTGAATTATAATTACCTTGGCTTCCGTGCATCTTTTTAAACAAAAAATATGCTCCAAAAAAGCCTAAAAGTTCGGCTACCACAACTCCTTTGAAGATCTTCTTTGCTAGTGGTTCCATAGTACGGGCCATCCTAATTTTAACAACAAATACGTGTAAACTTAAATAAGCATATGTAAACTATTACCATTTCCCTAATAACTCAAATTCATTCCCACAGTTTGAATGGCTTATCTATATGGGAATAAGACCCCAATATTATGGTATACTTTTTTGGTTTAGACATCCAACATACCTAGTTTTCAAGCTCCATGCCTGAGGAGCATGATGAACAGGACAAAACTGCATAAAGCGCAGGAAAGAGATAAAATTCAAGAAAACATTGTAAAAAGAACAATTTATGGAACTAAAATTTTTTAATTGGAGGAAAACAGAATGGGGAAGATAGGTTAAATCAATTTTTTAGCTGCACTGAGAATTAAGAAATCATCTAAATGAATACAATATGTAAACAGCTCTTTGTAAAGTGCCCTACAAAAGTAAGATTTTTCTGAAATGGTTCTACACTTTCTATGGCTGGAGTTCTGTTATTACTATAACATACACCAATATATACATATATATAGTAATATGTATATTATATAGCATATATAAGTATGTATACTGTACATAGTATATATACTAATATAACACAACATATACTAACAATACCTCATACTAAACTATGTGCCATAGTTCAAGCATTTGGAGTCCAGTGGCACGATCTCAGCTCACTGCAACCTCTGCCAACCTCAAACAATCCTCCCACCTCAGCATCCTGAGTAGCTGAAACCACTGGCACACACCACCACGCCTGACTATATATTTTTTTTTTTTTGTATTTTTAGTAGACACACGGTCTCACCACGTTGCCCAGATTGGTCTCGAACCCCTGAACTCGAGCAATCCACCCACCTCAGCCTCCCAAAGTGCTGGGATTACAGTTGTGAGCCACCATGCCCAGCCTGTAACAGGTCTTAAAACTTTCAATGCACTATCCAAGAGGCTTGTTTAAAATGCACATTCCTGAGCCTCAGCCTGCAGTTATCCACTTCCCAGTCTCCAGATTCTGATTCAGCAAATCTAGGATTGGTACCCCAGTAATCTGCCCTTTAGAAGGCATTCTCAGTAATTTTTATACAAATGGGGGCAGGGGGTGGAAACTGATTCAGTGATGAACCAGTAAGTGGCAAAACTACAAACTCATTAGATCTTGATTCTCTTCCTTTAAAAGTTAATCAAGAAAAAGAATGTGTCATTTTTTTTCAAATTAAAGTAAAAGACATCAAGCTAAGAAAATAGAATGTATGACTCTTACTGAATAAATTAATGTAAACCCAGGTTTTTAGTCTGCCTCCTTATAACCTCAAAGTCCAGAAGAGAACCACTTGTTTTTAATCTCAGACTTTTCTATTGTCCTCTGTGTGCTCTTTTGTCCTCAGTCCCAGCTCCCTGCTGTCAGGTGTTTTACTCCATTCGCTTCTGACCCCTTTTCAATGCCTGAGGGTGGGAGTAATCAAATAACCTTCCTTTTGTAGGATTATCCTGCTAATATTACCATGTGGCCCTCCCCACCACCACCCCAAATTCCCTCATTTTGATAATGTGATCACCCTGGGAACCAAAAGTTTAAAACTTTATGATTCTTATTTAAAAGAAATAAACAAAGTTACAAAGGAATTCATATATAACCAAGAGGCAGCTGAGTGGTGAGAAGGGAGGGTTGTTTTGCTCCATTCACTACAGTGCTGTACATGACTGACAAAATAAGTCAAGTCATGCTCAGTACAGATGGCTCACTTGGGGTTATTTTTATTTATTTATTTATTTTTATTTTTTGAGATGGAGTCTTGCTGTCTCCCAGGCTGGAGTGCAGTGGTGTGATCTTGGCTCACTGCAATCTCCACCTCCCAGGTTCAAAGCAATTCTCTGCCTCAACCTCCTGATAGCTCGGATTACAGGTGCGCCACCACGCCCGGTCCTTATTTTTTTTAATTGATTGATTGATTGATTGATTGGAGACGGAGTCTCGCTCTGCTGCCCAGGCTGGAGTGCAGTGGCCCGATCTCTGCTTACTGCAACCTCTGCCTCCCGGGTTCAAGTAATTCTCCTGCCTCAGCCTCCCCAGTAGTTAGAACTACAGGCACCCACCACCATGCCCAGCATATTTTTTGTATTTTAGTAGAGATGGGGTTTCACCGTGTTGCCCAGGCTGGTCCCAAACTCCTGAGCTCAGGCAATCCACCTGCCTTGGCCTCCCAAAGTGCTAGGATTACAGGCATGAGCCACGGAGCCTGGCCTTTTTTTTTTTTTTTTTTTTTTTTTTTTTTTTAAAGACTAGGTCTTGCTTTGTCTCCCTGGATGCAGTGCAGTGGTGCAATCTCGGCTCACTGCCAACTTCCGTCTCCCAGGTTCAAGCGATTCTCCTGACTCAGCCTCCCGAGTAGCTGAGATTATAGGCGTATGCCACCAGGTCTGGCTAATTTTTTTTTATTTTTAGTAGGGACGAGGTTTCACCATGTTGGTCAGGCTGGTCCGGAACCCCTGACCTCAAGTGATCTTCCCGCCTCGGCCTCCCAGAGCGCTGGGACTACAGGTGTGAGCCACCGCACCCGGCCTCTTGGGGTTACTTTTTAATGTTCAAGGGATGTACAAAGGCTGCCTGCAGCCAGTTCCATTATTCAAGAAATCAAAGTAAAATTTGTTTCAAGTGAGGGCGATGCTAAGGGCTCAAAAAAATAAAGTCTATCTGTAGGCCAGGGTTAAAAGGAAAGTCAAGTCCAAATAATACTGTACGGCTGCTTTGGTGTATAGTGGTGAGCATAGCTGCCTCCAAAGAACATCGTACAACAAAGTATTTACCCTTTTAAAATATATATATACGTTTTGCCCTCCGAGGCCCTCGCCTTCAGGAGGCTGATGATAAAACTTCAAGATCCTTTGCTGCAGACCACCAGAGACACACCGGTCCACCCACAACAAAGTGACATTGACTAGCTGCGGCCAGGGAGGCCTGGCAGAGGAGCGCCTGCCTTCCCCGCGCGGGGACAGGCACCGCTCCGGGGAGGCGTTTAGGTGAAGCTGAACACCAAGCCGCCTCTGACAGGTTCGGCGCCGGGCCGTCACGGAGTTAACTTCACGCGGGGCTGAGAAGCTGACTTGGGAACACAAGCTCAAGACAAACGAGCAATGCTGGGTCGGAAGCCCCGGGAATCGGGGCTGCTTCGCTGTGCGGCGCGGCCTCCCAGCTCAGGCCCGCAGGCGACGCGGCTGCAAGGAGCAGCGTCTCTCCCAGTCCAGCCGTGCAGAGCACCGCTTCTCCGCAGAGGCCTGGCGGTGCCTCGGGCTGGCCGTCTTCGCTCCCCCGCCCCCTGCTTTTGCCGCGGTTCCCTGCTGCCCGCGGCTGCCCTCGGCGCTCCCAGAGCTCACGAAACGCTAGGGCCGGGCCTGCAGGCCACACGCGCGGGTGCCCACGCAGCACGGCCAGGTCGCAGGGCCACGGTCGCCCAGCGACCCGGAAACACTCGCCTCCAGTGAACGGAGGTAGTGACACCTGACTGTCCTCTACATGCCCCAGACTGGGACGAGGACCCACGCAGAAACCCGCCCCACTCTCGGCGCACTGGAGACCTCCAAACCCAACCTCTGACGAGCAGCCACGGGGCGTAATCACACCTCAGGTGCCCTCCCGGAAGACCGCGAAGGCGAAAGGGCTGCCGACGCCCCGCCCCTTCCGTTGTCGGCCCCGCCCCCACACTCGTCATAACCAATCATTGTGCTGTGACCCTGACCCGAACCTGACTGCCGGCTACCTACGTTAGTTTACCGAATATTCGCAATAACACGCGAAACAGGTGCTGAGTGTATCTCATTTTGCAGAGAAAGCAAGAGACTTTCACTGCCCACAATCACACAGCTAGTAAAAACCAATTCAGGCCCCGGCGCGGTGGCTTACGCCTGTAATCCCAGGACTTTGGGAGGCCAAGGCGGGAGGATCATGAGGTCAGGGGTTCGAGAGCAGCCTGGCCAACATGGTGAAAACCCTCCCCGCCCCCGTATCTACTAAAAATACAAAAATTAGCTGGGCGTGGTAGCAGGCGCCTGTAATCCCAGCTACTTGGCAGGCTGAGGGGAGAGAATCGCTTGAACCCGGGAGGCGGAGGCTGCAGTGAAACGACACCGCACCATGGCACTCCAGCCTGGGCAAGGCTGAGACTCCGTCTCAAAAAAAAAAAAAAAAAAAAAAAAACACAGAATTCACGTTTGAACCCAGGACACTGACTCCATGGAGCCTGTTCTGGGTCCTTTCCCTGACACCCTGAAACCTAAAGTGTGATAGTCTGAGGGGACCAGCAACATAGGCATCACCTGAAAATTTGTTAGAAATGCAGAGCTACTGAATCCAAAACTGCATTTTAGCCAGATCCCTAAAGAATTCGTTTGCACAGTAACACTTGAGAAACACTGCGTATATTGCCCACTTAGTAAGATGAGGAAGAGAAAGACTCGAAGGGGACAAGGAAACAGAGAAGAGAAAAGGAATATAAAAGTATACTGAGGTACCAGGTGCAAGACAAAGCCTGGAACACCCGAAATAGACACAGATCTACCTTCACCGAAGTTCTAGTCTAGTTAGGGGTAGTTACCATAAATAACTGATGAAAAGTGCACATTGATAAGGACCTTGCTTCTAATCGGAGGAATCGGTAAAGGTTTTAGAGAAGGTGCATAGCTGGAGCTAACTCTGTCAATGCCAAGTAAAGGAAGTGTCTCTGCGAGGTGCTCTGCGATTGCCCCGATTTTCCTAACACCCGCCTTCCCATAGTTCAGTCCATGAGGTTTATTTGCATAACTAAAGCATTATAAATTGTGAAAACTGTGAATGTGTAAACTACTTTAATTTAAAGCATGTCATTGTTAGTCAATATCACTTATTTCTACACAGATCCAGAACTCTGATCCCTTCCACTATATCAACTTCTCCGGTATCCTCTTAAAGTCCAGGCTTTGTACATTCTCTTGATCTCTTCTATCTGCTCTATAGAAACCGTCTCTGGCTTGAATGTCAGTTCTATTTAATATTTTATATGTTACTTTCTCTCAAACCTTTTTCATGAGCTCCCTTTCTGCATTATGTTGCTTTTTATTTTGTGTTACTGTTTTCACTGTCATAAACTATTTTTCTTAAAGCTTTCAGAGCTCTACCCCTATACCATCAAAGTTCCCTTTTCTTCTCCAACTGACACATCCACAATCTTTTTTCTCCTTCTTCTTTACCTAATCATCCTCCTCGTCCTCCTCTTGTTTCTTCTTCTTCTTTAGGGTCTTGCTTGGTCACCCAGGCTGGAGTGCAATGGCACAATCACAGCTCACTGCAGCCTTGACCTCCAGGCTCAAGTAATCCTCCCTACACCCCAGCCTCCCAAGTAGCTGGGACAATAGGCATGCACCACCACACCTGGCTAATTAAAATATATATATTTTCCAACTCCTATGTTGCCCAGGCTAGTCTCCAACTCCTGGGCTCGAGTGATCCTCCTTCCTTGGCCTCCCAAGTGTTAGAAATACAGCTGTGAGCCACCATGCCTGCCTTTCCTCTTTAAAAAAAAAAAAATGAATAGCCAAGTATAGTAGTAAGAAGGGGGAAGGTAGTACATCCACAGTCTGTAAAATTTAATCCACAATAAATATTTTCTTATTAAAAGCACCCTCCATGACTTCCATGAAACATTTTGGGTTTTTTTGTTGTTGTTGTTGTTGTTTTGAGACAGAGTTTCACTCTTGTTACCCAGGCTGGAGTGCAATGGCGCGATCTCGGCTCACCGCAACCTCCGCCTCCTGGGTTCAGGCAATTCTCCTGACTCAGCCTCCTGAGTAGCTGGGATTACAGGCATGCACCACCATGCCCAGCTAACTTTTTGTATTTTTAGTAGAGACGCGGTTTCACCATGTTGACCAGGATGGTCTCGATCTCTTGACCTCGTGATCCACCCGCCTCGGCCTCCCAAAGTGCTGGGATTACAGGCTTGAGCCACCGCGCCCGGCCAAACATTTTGTTAAATATCATTTAAGACACTATGCATTGAGCTTCCAGGCCTGTCTTTGTCCACTTGGGCTGCTATAATCAAATGCAATAAACTGATGGCTAATAATCAACAGAAATTTATTTCTCATGATTCTAAAGACTAGGAAGTCCAAAATCAGGGTACCAGCATATTCAACATCTGGTAAAGACAAATTTTCTGGTTTTTGAGATAGTGCCTTCTCACTGTGTCCTCACATGGTGCAAGGGGCAGGGGTTTCTCTGAGGCCTCCTTTAAAAGGACACTAATCCTTGGCTGGGCACGGTGGCTCACACCTGTAATCCCAGCACTTTGGGAGGCCAAGGTGGTTGGATCACCTGAGGTCAGGAGTTTGAGACCAGCCTGGCCAATGAGGAGAAATCCCATCTTTACTAAAAATACAAAAATTAGCTAGGTGAGGTGGCGCACACCTGTAATCCCAGCTACTCAAGAGGCTGAGGCAGGAGAATTACTTGAAACCAGGATGCAGAGGTTACAGTGAGCCAAGATCATGCCACTGCACTCCAGCCTGGGCGACAGAGTGAGACTCCGTCTCAAAAGAGAGAGAAAGAGAGAGAGAGAGAGAGAGAGAGAGAGAATAGAGGGGGAAAAAAAGGTCACTGGAATGGTTCAGACTGAAAAAAGAAAAGAGGGAAAAAAGGCTTAAAGAAACGATAACAAGCCTCACCAACTTGGGCCTGGCAGAATGGCTCCTGCAAAGAACGGTGCCAAGAAGAAATCAGACTATTCTGCCATCAACGAGGTGGTGACCCGAGAATACACCGACATTCACAAGCACATCCATGGAGTGGGCTTCAAGAAGCATGTCCCCCGGGAACTCAAAGAGATCTGGAAATTTTTCCATGAAGGAGATGGGAACTCCAGATGTGTGCATTGATACCAGGCTTAACAAAGTTGTCCTTGCCAAAGGAATAAGGAATGACCCATACTGTATTCATGTGCGGTTGTCCAGAGGACATAATGAGTTTGAAGACTCACCAAATAAGCTGTGTACTTTGATTTCCTATGTACCTGTTATCACTTTCAAAAATCTACAGTCAGCCAGGCACGGTGGCTCATGCCTGTAGCCCCAGCACTTTGGGAAACCAAGATGGTCAGATCAATTGACGTCAGGAGTTCAAGACCAGCTTGGCTGACATGATGAAACCCCATCTCTACTAAAAATACAAAAAGGTAGCAAGATCACATCACCGCACTCCACCCTGGGTGACAGAGCAAGACTTTGTCTAAAGAAATATACATATATATATATAGAGAGAGAGAGAGAGAGAAAGAGTCAATGTGGATGAGAACTAACCACTGAATCTTCAACTACATCAAATATAGTTATAAAATTGCCTTCACAAAAAAATACCAGAAATGATATGAAAGACTGAAATAATTGTATAGAAATGCTATCATTTCTGCTGGGAAATATATATAAACTAATAACGGTATTGTACAAAGTTTGACATCTCCATAAATATTTCTTATTACATTCTGAACCCCACTATAAATTTCACAAACACATTTTGAGATAATACACATTTCGGCCACGAATTTTTGTGCAGGAAAAGTGTAGATTCCAGTAGAAACTTTTACCAAGGGTCCTTTAGTGGCAGTGCCTTCCTGATCCTAGCCTGATTTACTAATTCTGCAGAGTGATGCAAATTACTAGGAAAACGTGCTGGTTCTCTTTGCTGCAACCTGCCCAAAGCACAGAAGCAGGTTAAAATCCCAGTGTTCCTTAGTGGCATAGGGACCTTCACTTTAACAAATATGTACTAGCTTTGCTGTCCGTTCTTCCATCTTCACCTTACAGCCTAAACATTTCTTTGAACACTTTCTCTTTTTTTGTTTTTCTTCTTCTTCTTCTTTTTTTTTGGGGGGGTGGGGTGGGGTATATGTCTATAGACTAGAAAACCAAAGGAAAAGAAGGTAAGAGGGCATGGTGTCTTTAATGCCAAGGAAAGAAATTTTATTTGCTTATTATTATTATTTTGAGACAGAGTCTCACTCTGTCACTCAGGCTGGAGTGTAGTGGCACAATCTCAGCTCACTACAACTCCTGCCTCCTGGGTTCAGGCGATTCTCATGCCTCAGCCTCCCAAGTAGTTGAGGCTACGGACTACAGGCATGCACCACCACACTTGACTAAATTTTTTTTTTTTTTTTTTTTTTTTTTTTTTTTAGTAGAGACAGGGTTTTACTATGTTGGCCAGGCTGGTCTCGAATTCCTGACCTCAAGCAACCCACCTGCCTCAACCTTCCAAAGTGCTGGTATTACAGGTGTGAGCCACTGCACCCAGTCAAAAAGAAACTTTAAATAAGCCTCCCATGCAGCTGCCTCTGGGGCATGAGCCAGGCCACAGTTGGCAAATGTAAGGTCTTTTAGGCTAACTGATGGCACCATGGACATCATAGCAAACCCCATGATCTGCACGTACACCTCTAGATGGCCTCCTGGAGTTAGAAAATCTGAAGTAACTAGAAGATCACAAAAAGAGGAAGAATGATCAATCCCTGCAGCACTTAATTAACTTGAGACATTCTTCTATTGTT